CACAATTAACACAAACATTTCAATAATAATATTAAATATTAATAGCCTCAAATATCTAATCAAAAGACACAGACCGAATAGACCAAAAAGTGAAATCTCTCTAGCTCGTGTATACAAGAAACATAGCTTTAAAAGCAGGCACTACCTGACAAAGACAGGATGATGGCAGGCTGACCAAACCAAGGCCAGAACCTAGGCTATGAGTTAGTCTAGTCCAACATTTGCCTCATCTATGAGCTACTGGATTATGTGGAGGGGCCAGATCTGCAGATTCAAAGCTACAGAACCTCCATGACACAGAACAATGACAGGATATCCAGGCAGAGTCCCAGTGAGGGCCCTTTGTCAATGGGGTAGCAGAAGCCAAAGGTCTCAAGCCATTTCAAAGGGGTATACTATGTGACTCACTAGGCCATACTACAGCTTCCATGATGAGATTTTTTTTGCTTGTTTTGTTTTGTTTTTGGCTATTCCTTTAAATTCTGTTTTGTTTTGAGGAGGGGGTCACAAAGACAGAGGCAAGGGGATGAGGATGAGCAGGATTAGGATGCATGGTGTGAAATCCACAGACTCAATAAGAATCAGAAACGAACAGGGAAATACTACAACAGACAGCAAAGAAACTCAGAATATTATAAGGAGCTATTTATTTAATTTGTTTATACTATTTAAATTTAAATCTATTTTGACTTATTCTTCCCATCCTCTAAGTTCTTCCAGATTCTCTCCTCTATTTATTTAATTTTGTTTTTATTATTTAAATTTAGATGTATTTTGACTATATTCTTCTCCCAAGTTCTTCCAGACACCCTTTCTCTACCCACTCAACTTTAATTTCTTTCTCAGAAAAATAAACAAAAACTCAACATGACAACACAATCCCACAAAGCATAGCAAAAGTGAAACAATATCCCAGGAAGGGGGATAAAACACCGAATTATAAATAAATAAAAGCGCGTGCGCGCACACACACACAGTGGAGTCCGTTATATGTCAACCAACTACTCCTGAACATGAGACTTGCCGTGGATTATTTAATATATCCAGTGACACTCCTTTGGAGTAAACTGATTTTCCCTAGACCAGTAGGTATAAACGACAGTTCTGTTGTTCACTTTTACGTTGGTGTCTAGGTTTTCATTCATTGATTCAGTCATTCATTTTTTTAAAAAATATAACAAAGTAAAATATAATAAGATAAAAATAAAAACTATAATGTCAAAATTAGATAAAACAAACCAATGAAGTCACAATGAACATGGTTCAGCAAGTGTGTGTAGCAGGATGGAGTATCCTTTGAATATATGCTCAAGAGTAGTGTAGTTGGATCTTGAGGTACATCAATTCCCAACATTATAGGAAATGTAACATTCATTCCAATAGTGGCTGTACAAGTTTGCACTCCTCCCAGCTGTTGAAAAGTGTTCCCTTTGCTCTACATCCTCATCAACATGGGCTGTCTCTTGTATTATTGATCTTAGCCATTCTAACAGGTGTAAGATGGGATCTCAAAGTAGTTTTGATTTGCATTTCCCTGATAATTAATATTGCTGTTTATAGATGGTATGATAGTAAACCTAATGATCCTTAAATTTCTAGTGGAGAACACTTACAACTGATAAATGCAAAATTAGTTCACAAAAGTCAGACACCCTCCTAGATACAAATGACAAACAGAATGAGGAAGAAATCAGGGCAGCAAGATCTTTTACGATAGCTTCAAATAATATAAAATATCTTGGGATAACTCTAACCAAGCAAATGAAAGACTTGTATGATTTAAAAAAAAAACCTTAAGACATTGAAGAAAGAAACTGAAGAAGATATCATAAGATAGAAAGATCCCTCATGCTAGTGGCTTGGTAGAGTTAACATACTAAAAATAGCCATCCTACCAAAATTGATCTACAGATTCAACACAATCCTCATCCAATTTCCAACACAATTCTCCACAGACCTTGAAAGGACAATTCTCAATTTTATATGGAAAAAATAAGTTATCTAAAATAGTCCTGAGACAATAAAAAGAATTACTGGAGATCTCATCATTCCAGATTTCAACTTATGCTACTGAGCTGTAGTAATAAAAACTAAATGGTATTGGCATAAAAATAAACATGTTGATCATGGGATCAAATTGAAAACCCAGACATAAATATACACACATATATGGACACCTGTTTTTTTCTAAAGAAGTCAGAAACACACAATGGAAAAAAAGATAGCATCTTCAACAGATGGCGTGGTTAAACATCATGTCTACATGTAGAAAATGTAAATAGATCCATATCTCTCACCCTGCCGCAAACTCAAATCCAAGCGTATCAAAAATCCACCAAATAAAACCAGATACACAAACTGTTGGAAGCGGAAGTGGAGAATAGCCTTGAACTCATCGGCACAGGAGAAGACTTTCTGAACAGAATACTGATAGCGTAGGCACTAAGCTCAACTGATGATAAATACAACCTTATAAAACTGAAAAGTTCTGTAAGGTAAAGGACACCATCCTTTAGACAAGGCAGCAGCATACAGAATAGGATTAAGATTTTTACCAACTCCACATCCAATAGAGGCCCAATTGCAGGTGGCTACATCAGAGGAGCTGCAGGTGGCAATCGAGATTCCAGAGATTGGTTTACTGGAGAGTAAGCACTAATGGGTTGATCTCAGGTAGGTGAGCTCCTAAGGGCTTCAGCGCCAGAATAGTTCTTTTTTTTTTTTTTTTTTTTTTTTTTTTTTTTTTTTTTTTTTTTTGGTTTTTTTTTTTTTTTTTTTTTTTTTTTTTTTTTGGTTTTTCGAGACAGGGTTTCTCTGTGGTTTTGGAGCCTGTCCTGGAACTAGCTCTTGTAGACCAGGCTGGTCTCGAACTCACAGAGATCCGCCTGCCTCTGCCTCCCGAGTGCTGGGATTAGAGGCGTGCGCCACCACCGCCTGGCACCAGAATAGTTCTTGCTGCTGCTTCGCCTTTACATGTTTTGTTGCTGACGTTTTTCTCTGGTGTCTGAAATGGTGTGAGTGGGTGTGCGGGGATCTACACTGCTTTAATGTAGTGTGGTTGTCTATGGAAACACCCTATTCTACTGGGCAGTTTTGCCTGTGGAATATTATGAAGATTATTTCCTCTTAAGCTGTACTGTTTAACTGATGTAATGAGTTTATATGATAATGTTAATTTGAATAGAGTTTTGATGATCAAGGGTTTCTAACAAATGTAGTAAAGGATTGTGGTAGACGTTAGTTTAGTGGGAAAAGTAACACAAATAAAGGCAGGAGACAGACAGTGTTGCCACTGACCCTGAGAGTACACGAGCCGCAGAGGGTAGAAAGTAGAGTCAAGAATGAGTCACAGCTAGGGTTTACGAGTTAGGAGATAATCAATGAAGACAACTGAGTTCCAGAGGTAGCTTAGTTCAAGTTCTTTCCATCTGAATGTTGGGGAATGTGTTCACAGGTTTCGGTGTGCAACATAGCCAAAACAAAGCTTTTAGTAATGACTTAAGGTTGGGCTAGGATGTTTTTGATAATGACTTTGAGGTAGAAAATCTTGGGGGAACAATTTAAAGTTTAGGAAGGCACACTTTTTATAATTGAGCTAGGTGCTCATTAAGGTCAGGGAATAAAAACAATGGCAGCCTGGCTATTGCTAGCTGATGTTCCTTTCCTGTTAAGGTGGGTGCATGATCAAAGGTGATGATTATTTTCTTGTACCAGTTTCTTCCCTCAGCTTCTTGATTAAAAACTGTTGGTGAATGGGCACACACCCTAAGATTTAAAGAAGACCTGGCTGAATGTTTTCATATATAAAAGCGTAGATTTGTGATTCTTTTAAAATTATTGTAAGATTATCTTTTGAGGTAAATAACAAAATGATTGGTCCTGTCTTTGTAGCTGCAAAATGCAGCCTGCCAGTAAATGAATTGGCTGAGACAAATAACCTTGCTTGTTTACATTTTGCTAAGCTATAACAAATTGCTTGGAAATGGGTGTATGTGGGTTCTTGGAAATAACTTGGTTTTCACCTGTAATATGTAAAATGTTTGATCATGTGAGGGATATGGAAAACATTGTGGTTTTACTTGTATTCATTGCATTTGTTCGCTAAAAAAATAGAATGTAACCACATTGTAACTTTTATACTGCTTGAAAAAGTTTGCTGGAGTATATAAGCTGTAAGGGAAAAATAACAGACGGTGGACATCAGGAAGTAGTAGAAGGAAGTCATCAGGAAATATAGCAGGAACACATCAGGATAGAAGAACAGATCAGAAAGGGAATAGAGTAGAACAAACAAGAAAAGTAAAACAATAATGAATAACTGAGCCTTGGTCCTAAGAAAATTCCTTGTGTGTCTGTCTGTCCAGTAGTTGTCTACTCTACATCTCCTCTTACGTTCCTCTGACCTGCTGAAGGCTTGCCAATTACCGGCACTCTAGATGAAATCCTGATATGTTGGAGAAGTGTATGAGTGAGTGAGTAAGTGAGTGTTCTCTCTCTCTCTCTCAAAGTCAATTGAGTGATTAGTCTGCCAACTTCATGGCTCCCTGTCAATTCCTGAGCTGCTGACAGCTAGTCCTTACAGCAGCAGCTAATATCCAAAATATATAAAGAGAACTCAAGAAACTGAATATCAAAACAACAATAACAAATGATCCAATTTTAAAATGTTGTATAGATCTAAACAGAATTTTCAATAGATGAATCTCAAATGACTGAGAAACACTTAGAGAAACCTTTAATTTAGAAGACATCATTTGATATAGTGAAATATAAAAATCAAGTCATTACAGAAAACACAAATACAAATCAGTGTACAGCATCAATTACAGCAGTGATCATGTCTTACTAGAGTAAGTATGTCACAAAATTCACATCACAACTGGCTCATCAGTGGCCGAAGTGTCTTATGCACAGAGCAGTGACTGCTTGCTTGGAGAAGGAAGTGCCTGTTCTGTACATACTGTCTTTCGTCCATTTCTTCCTTGTCACCACCGAGCCGGTCACACTGTAGGGTACATGGCATATGTAGCAATTCCACAGTGGTTTTTCTGGTCCTTGGCGATCTTCATGTAGCCTCTAATGCCCCACTTTTTACCCATGCTGAAAGGAAATGTGTTTTCCCCTTAGTAAAAATAACACAGCACCGTTGATTATTATAATAACTCCTCTTTTGAGCACTGACCCAGAGGCCAGCTTAATAGAAAGCATCAGAAGAAGCAGAAGATCAACTCTTAGAAACCAAGTCTTGGGAACCTCACACAAGACTGTGAAAACCACAGCAAGGAAGAGATGGGACAACTTTCCATCCATATGGGTGGTCCGGAGGTGACATTTTTTGTGTCCGATTTTAGAAAATCAGTGGCACAGATGTGATATTAGAACCTAACAAAACCAGTAGCTGAATATGAACACTGTGACCACACAGCATGAGCGGGTTGCTCAGGGCATAGGGACAGCTCAGAGGATCAAGTTCTGGCCATAGAGGACTGGAATTCAAGTCCAGAATCCACTGAAAGCCAGGATTGAGGCTGGAGATAGCTCAGTGCCTAAGATCGTGGAGACAAGAACTCCCACCCCAAAAGTTGCCTCTAGAAACAGAAAAATCTCCTCCCAACCTGGAATACAAATAATCTGAGCAGTCTGTACCTGTTCTTGACCAGCCAGTACTTCCTGCCGTCTGCCTCTCTTCCTTCAAAGCCATAGCCGACCACTAGCATGGCATGGGTGACTGTAGTACTACTGCAGTTTGGCTCATGATATATGCCTGGAAAATAGCATCGGTGACCAGGGGGAGGCCCCGGGAGCCTGACAATAGTCAGCAGCCATCACGGAGGCATTTTCTGATGTCACTGAAATGATACAAACTCCAGTGACAACCGGATAAGTCATTGACCGGAATCCTGGCACAGGTCCCCATTAGAATCAGGAAAAAAACCAAGTGATAATAAGTGTATTGATAAACACTTATCTATATGCATGTAAGATGATCTATCACCAGCAAGCACCACTGAGCATAAATTTCTTAATTCACATTTCACTTTAGGTTTATTCTAGAAATGCCATCTCATGAAGAATCTTATAGACATGTCACACGTAGAAAATCGAGAAATTAAGTTAAACAATAAATTTTATGGATTATTAATTGTTTGCATGCAAAGGGGAGGTCATGCCAAGTACCAATGACACATAATATTATTGAATGGATACCTGTAAAATATGGAAACTCACATACTCAAATTATGTTTGATACTTTTTTTAAAATGGTCTGTTGAACTCAGGACCTTTGGAAAATCAGGCAGTGCTCTTAACCTCTGAGCCATCTCTCCAGCCCCATAAGATCATAAAACAGAGCCACCTGAGTTCAATTCCCAGCAACCACATGGTGGCTGACAACCATCTGTAATGGGGTCTGGTGCCCTCTTCTGGCCTGCAGGCATACACCCAGACAGAATATTATATACATAATAAATAAATAAATAAATAAATAAATAAATATTTAAAAACTAAAAATAAACTAAAATGGTCTGTTGAACAGAAATGCCTGCCATAGGTGTGTCCACATTTTCAATTAATATCTAGAAGAGCACATGCTTACCTCCTTTATAGAACTGGAAGGAATCATGTCTTGCGTCGAGTGCAACAGAAATGGGTCCTATAGTTGCCACAAGATTCATTAGGGCCTTTTCACTCTTTGGTACTAACACAAGGCCTGTGATACTAGCAGTAGAATTTTCCAGATTGTACCTGCAGGGCCCTTCCTTAAAAATAGAAAGAGTTAAAAAGACTGGGTTACTTCCCTCTGAGCCCTGGAGAACAGGAGTCAGAACAAAATTCCTCGCCTTGCGGCTGAGCATCCCCATATCTGGGCTGTTATAAATCACCCCAGGAAATAAAATGTTACTGGAAAATTTGGAACTGAGACTTAGCTCTCATGTTGCAAGTGATACCCCATTAGGTCTTGCTGTGTATAAGAAACTTTCATAGTGAAGAAATTTATATTCCATATAAAGATTTTAAATGTTCTCCTTGTCTACAGAAGTAGGATCAGCTACATGGAAACCACATCAATAGATAACCACGCTAAGGTAGTGCTGTGATCACAGGATTGAAGAAACAATAGCACAGCAGGTCCACTTGCCTTTTCTTCATACGGATAGGTTGCCTCGGACTCCAGACCTCCGTTTTCTTTCACATACTGCAGGGCAAGGAATGTATTGCCTCCAAAACAGCCCCTGTTACCTTGAGGTCTAGAACAGTCCACTAGGTTCTGGACACTCAGAGGAATCAGTTTGCCGGTTTTCCGGAACATCTGTCCTTCTATGGCACCAGCCACAGAAAAAGCCCAACAAGCAGTACACCTACCCTAAACAGAGAAGACATGACAATCATCCACAAACAAACAGCAAACAAAATCAGAGAGCCGAGTCCTGTGTAAGAAAATGAGCCACTGGCAGTTGATGGAAGCCTGAGAGGACATCAGTCTCTTTGGAGACTTGACAGATGTCTGTTCGCTCAGGTCCTAGTGGTTGGCCACACACACACACAAGGGTAGGACCTACTGATGTCTGCAGGTTAGAGGCAGCATGAAAAGGGGTGTGACCCCTTAACATGTGACGGGGACACTAGGTGGGGCTGTAAGGCTAAGGTAGTGGTGGATGAAGATGTTTCGTATGCACTGTATGAAAACACAAGAAGAATAACAATATTATTAGAAAATAAACTCACTCGATTCATACAGACATGTCACCTCCTAACTGATGAGCGTGTGAAATGCTAATACCTGTCTCCGCACGGAGGTGACATAGCCTTTCTTTCTCCAGTTTATAAATTTGGGCACATCACCAGCCAGACGTTTCTGGATGTTTTTCCCTTTCTTGAGAGTGGGGACTGGGATATTCATCATCAAATTTCTGAATTCTTCACCAGTCTTTAAAGAAAAACACATAAATCTTTAAAAACAAAGACGGCAACAATTTGGAGAGAAAAACACATTGTGCAGCTATGCATGTCACACCCAACACGGCACATGTCACCCAACACATTGTAGTGCATGTCACACCCACCATGTCACCCAACACATTGTGCATCAATGCATGTCACACCCAACGTGTCACCCAACACATTGTGCAGCTATGCATGTCACACCCAACGTGTCACCCAACACATTGTGCATCAATGCATGTCACACCCACCATGTCACCCAGCACATTGTGCATCAATGCATGTCACACCCACCATGTCACCCAGCACATTGTGCAACTATCAATGTCATGCTCACCATGTCACCAAAGGCGTTCATTTCCATGGTGAAGCCATTCTTCCCCAGGCCATTCTCCCCATTGTGCAATTTGATCATTTTCATATTTTCTTCCCATACTGCTCTCTTCTGTGCTTCTTCCTCCTGGAAATAACAATAATGGATGATATTTATTTTTAACCCATACACAAGCTGCCCAAATACCAGTTGCAACAGGTAAAGAGAACCTAGAGAGAGAGATTTCGGGATACTGAAACAAACCATTTGGCACATCTCTAGTAGCAGAGATCCTGACCATCCATTGCTCATCTGTATAGGTAATTCTTCAGAGAAAGGCAGTTTCTGTGGCCTCTGTTGTGCCCATAGCCCCCAACAGTAAGCACTCTGCGTTCCCTCTGAACGGTTTCAACATTACCAACCAGACTGTAAGTTTTTCCATATTTTATCTTCCACTGCTGCCATTCAGCATCCAGAGTGGGATCAGGTGAGGGAGTAGATGAGGCCCTTCCCAAGCACAGGACGGCCAGAAAGACAGCAGGAATCATGTCGCAAGAATGTAGAGATGGGGAGAGAAGTGAGACTTCTAAATGTCTTCTTCCTCCTTCCTGAGAAATGAAAACATCCATGGTAGATAAAAACTATTCTTCCAAATATTTATGCACAGATTTTGGAAATGGCTAGACACGTATTTGGACTAAAGGCTCTCTGAATGGTACTGAGTTTCTCCACCACTCAATACAGGAAGTGTGGTGAGAGGAGAAACTGCAGTCGGGGTGTAATTAATGAGAGAAGAATAAAATAAATAAATAGATAAACAAGTACAGCATATGACCAGAATTCTAGGATTCTGAATACAAACTCCATATATACTAGAAACTTAATTTATCAGAAGGATAACAATACACTCGAAGTTCAAAACCTATACAACTATGAACTTGTGGCTCAGGTAACCTAGGATTTGTAATGAAGCAAACTTCTATTGCAAAGCATCTGATCCTAATCACAAGGTTACTGCATGAATTGAAGCCGTGTGCTGTTCTATCCTTGCCTAACATGCATCAAGAGATGGGCTTCTGAACCCCTTAAGTCCTCCTTAAAATATAGGGGAAGGTCTATAGCTCCTAATCCATTCGACCCACCCATGGATCTTGGATCCACACACATTACCCCAGTGAGGAAAGGGTACCATGGAATTGTCCTCATAAGATCGTAAGACAGAGCCACCAGTGAAGTTGGAGAAATAGAGGAAGCCATTCCCAGGATTTCAGAACAAGACACGCTTGGTCTCTTAAACCATGCCCTCTGTTGTTCTGCTTGTTATCACTTCTGCTCATGCCAGTCATGAAAAACAGTTTTTAATCCCGTGGTAATATGCAGGAAAATGATCTCTGAACCCAGAATGAAATAAGCATGTCCCTACTGTACATGGTACCAGCTGTCACTCTAGACCGGAGCAGTCTTGCACTTACTGGGAATCTATGCAAACCTGGACCCAGTGCCTGATTTCCTCTCTGGCTTCCCCACCCTCATCCACCTCCACACAGGACTGCAGAGGTTGAGAAGACATTCTCATTCCTGGGGCTCTGCCCGGTTCTCCATGGACTCTCCCAAGGCTCTCCTTCGGTGTCTCCCCCATTCCACCCTAGCAGAGATCGGGCCTCACCTGTGGTGACCACTGCTGTCTTGGTGCGCCCCACAGTTTGTCAAAAGTCACTGAGGTTGCAGGATATGGCCAAGTCACACCTCACGCAAGCTTTAAATCCCAAGTCTCTCTCTAGCTGGCCCCACCTCTCAACCTTGCCTTTCTGATTTGGTGTGTTTATTACAAGATTGGGCCTCCGGGCTCCAGGTGTCTAGACTGTAGAATTCCAAGCTCTGGGACTGTAGGCTCTTACGAGATCTGATCCCACCTGTCATGAAGAGGCAGGTGTGGGCTGCCTCAGTGGCCTGTGTGGAGCTGAACCTATGGACCTTGTTAGAGAAGCAGATGGTTAGACTTTCCACATTCAATCACTTGATGCCTGAGATTTTGCTTGATGGGTAGAGCAAGAAATAAGTTTTTCTTGGTAAACAAGTACCACAGTTCCTGTTTAATTCACATCTAAGGTAATATTCTGAGGAAACACAGGCCTTGGGCAGTCTTTTTCATCACTCTCACAGTGTAACAGATGCTTTCACAGGAATCTTTAGGGGAAGGCGATTCCTACACAAGACAGCAATATTCAAGGGCTAAAACCTAAGAGGAAAAATGAATATCTTTGCTCTCAGAGTCCTCCGAAACTGTCTAGCTTTTCTTTACTTCAATTTACATTGGACAGCCACTAACAAGATCCATCACCTGTGATATGTAAAATGTTTAATCACGTAAGGGATATGGAAAACATGTTTTTATTTGCATTCATTGTAATCATTCACTTAAAAATAGAATGCAGCAATGTGGTGATTTTCATGGTGCTTAAGAGATTTTGCTGGGGTATTTAAGCTGTAAGGAAAAAATACACAGAAGGATACACCTGGGTAAAGGTAAGGAAAGAAATAAAGAGGAGAGGGGGGAGGGAGGGGAGAGGAAGAGGATAGAAAGCCCCTAAAGGTGTGTATTTTTCCCAGTGCCAATCACTGGCCCCAGAAAATTAAGCTTTACTCCCTTCAAACAGTAAAATCAAACTGAGTGATTACTTCACCTTCTCTGTAGCTTCCTTACAATTCCTGAGCTGCTGAAGGCTAGTCCTTACTGTGAAAATAGATCAAGTCAGCACAAATCATTATTTCTACCTGATCACCCTTCAAATCTGATCAGGGTTCTTCTCCTCCACTGTGACCCATTTGAAGTCTGGTCATACATGCCAGACATCCCTTGAACTCTGATTCTCTATTTCTGGGCTATTTTCGCACTTTCAGATCCCCACCCTTTTCCTTAGCTACAAACCAAGATGGGGGCAAATTCCACTTCTCCCAGTTTCGTCAGGAAAATAGAATGTTTAATGACATTCAATAAAGTCTCCTGTACCACTCATCACATCAGTAGGACGCTGGTCAGGGACTAAAGGTGCCCTCCATCACGCATGAGAAGTGGATGCAGCTTGAATTCAGAAGCTGTGTCTAAACCATCAAAGTCTCTCGCTTGTACTCAGCTCAACCCATAGTGACCTGGACCTGGCCTAAATTTTCAACAAGTTATCTGTCTGCTGAATAACCATGGATCTTTATACGCTGTGGGCAGGTGTTGGTCTCTAGGATAAGGGTTAACACCACACCTGAGCAAACAAGAGGTCGTGAAGCTCTTGGAACTCTGCACTAACACAGACATCAGCAAAATTTATAGGGGTTTCCCAGAAAATAACATGTTTTCATTAACACATTGGTTACACGACCTTCCCTGTCCACCAATAAGGAAGAAACCTCATGTCTAGAACATTAGCAAACTATATCAATCAGTCCTGAAACTGTTCTCTTCTTTGTCTGGTTTTTTCCCAGCATAATACTTTTATTAATTATTTGGGAATTTTGTACAGTGCAACCTGATTATGCTCACCTCCCAATCCTTCCAGGTTCACCTTCCCACCTTGCACCGCCACCACCACCCCCGCCAAACATAAATAAATAAATAAAAACCAAGGTCAATTTGTGTTGACCATATACTCATTGTAACAGGGCCAGACTCCCATTGATCAGCCTCTAAACTAAAACTGAGTCCTTTCCAATCCTCTTGCATGGTTTCAAGTGCAGCACAGAGCACAGCCTGCGGCAGCTGCAGGGATGTTCTCTTTGAGAGTCCCGTACAATGTGGTTTGATCACACTCACCGTCCTCTCCCGCTCTTCCCAGGTCTGTCTCACTTTCCTGCCCACATAAATCCATGACTTTATTTTCTAAACCCATCAACACTAATTTTTGGTGCCCAAACACTCTTGGATGTTGCCTTTTTGCTGGTATAGTCAGCTAACCAGTGTCTATAGTCTTAGAGAAAACTGAATCTCCCTCACCAAGAAGCTAAAAGTTGCCAATAGCAGCATGGTTGGGGGTAAGATTGTGTGTCTAGCTACCCTCTCTGTGCTGGCATTTGGTCTTGCTTTGGTTTGCACTGGTCTAGTGCATCCTGTCACTGTCTGTGAGTTCACATTTGTAGTTGCTTACTGTGTCCACAAAACCGTTTCCTGTAGTCATAAACCACCTCTGGCTCTTACACTCTTCCTCTACACTTTTCCATAATGAATGTTGCCTGTTTAAAGGAGGAATATGGTATCTATTTTCCACATATGACTAAACACTCCAGACTTTTCTGTTCTCTGCACCTTGGCCAGTTGTAGGTCTCTACGTTAATCAGCATCTACTGCAAAGAGAAGCTTCTCAGGGGAGGGCAGAGAGATACACTAATCTGAGTATACTGATAACTCATTAGGAGTTGGTTTAATACTATGTGCAGGTATTAATTACTTTGCCGTTGCTATGATAAAACCCCAAGGTCAAAGCAACTTACCAAAGAAAGCACTTAATGAAACTATGGTTCCAGAAGTTTACAGTCCATGATGGCGGCAGGAGGAACTGTGACCTCGGATCCCCACATCTTACACTACAAGCAAGGGGTGAAGAGCACAAGACTTTTGAAATCTCAAAGCCCACCCCCAGTGACATAGCTCCTCCAATAAGGCCACTTCTCCTAACCCTTCCCATGCAGTTCCATCAACTGCAGACCAAAAATTGAAACACAGGTGCTTTCAAGGGCCATGTCATCCAAGTTTGGTATCCAAGACTACCAACCAGGTCCTCATTCCATTCCAATGGTTCGGGGCAAGGGAATGGCTCTGTTTATAACCAAATAAGCACAAATATTGCTTTGGTTTTTACATTGTTTATTAAATGTAATATTTAACAGTTCCATACATATATTACAGTGATTTTTGTCTCTTCTCACTTCCACCCTCCTGTTTGCCTTCCCACAACCATTGTCCCTCCCTCTTTACTGCTGTCTCTCTACCATTTTCACACCTTTGTGCTTTGTTTTATGACCCCATGTATGGAGGGGGGACTGTTTATGTGGTTTGGTTTGAGTTTTATTTTGTTTTGAAACTCACTGTGCAGATCAGGCTGACCTCAAACACAATACAACCCTCCTCCCTCTGACTCCTGATTGCTGGCCTTAAAGGCTTGATGCCTGGTTTGATCCACTGACTTAATATATAATTTATTTTTATTTTGTGTTCATAGATATTATGCCTGTGTAAGGGTGTCAGAAGCCCTGGCACTGGAGTTATAGACAGGTGTGAGTTACTATGTGGGTGCTGGGAACTGAACCCAAGTTCTCCAAAAGAGCAGAAGATGCTTTCAATCCCTGAGCCGACTCTCCAGTCTCTGACCCACTGACTTTTCATGGATACCATCTATGTGGTCATAGGTTAGGACTATCCACTGGGAACTAGTGGGTGCATTGTTTGGTGCACAGCTGAGGCAATGATTATCTGATCTTCATACTGTTTGGGCCTCTGTGCGGTTTATTTCTGCTCTGGATTTCATTTAATTTCTTTCCTTCTTCCAAGTCTGGGTTTAGCTTGTTCTTGGTTTGGGTTATTTTTTTTATTCTTTAAAATACAGGATGAACATGTATTGAGATCTTTCCTCTTTTCTTGTGTTTGGATAAAGACGCCTATTATTTTAAATTTCCTAGACTGCTCCTGTTATATCCCACAGTCTCTAGTTTCTTTTCCATATATTTTCCTTCAGGGTTTCTTCCTTGATCCGTTGGTTGTTGAAAAGTAAATTGTTTGGTTTCTGTGTATTTTCATATTTTCCAGAGTCCTCTCTTGATATTGATATTCAGCCTTATTGCATTGTGGTTAGAAAAATGCTTGATATGATTTTGATTACTTTTAAATTTGTTGCAATTTCTCTGTGGCCTGTCATGATCTTTCCTAAAGAATGTTCCTTTGCTGATGAGAAGCATGTGTCTTCAGCCACTGTTGAACAGAATGTTCTGTGGGCTCTGTTACTGCCATCTGGCCCAAGATTCAATTTAATTTCTCGGGGTTTTGTCTTGTTTTTAATCTGGGTGATCTGATCGTCCACGAGAGTGGAATGCTAAGCCCCTATTACTGTGGCTTCTAGTCCATCTCTTTTAGCTCTAGGAATGTCTATCCATAGATCTGGATGCTCTGTTCTGAGTACACACACTTTTAGAACTGTAAATCCTTGCCTGATAAACTGCTAACCTTGACTTCCTCAGCCCCTCCCTCCATTTAAAGCCTGCTTTATCTGCTAAAGTGCTCGCAAACCCTCAATTCTGCCTCTGCTCTGCCATCTCAAACAAAACTGCTCAAACTCAAAATCCCTCCCTTCTACTTCCTGTGTCTCTCTATCCATCCCCTAACTCCCTCTTATTTTCTATGGTATTTTTCTTAATAATCCTGTCTTCATTTCCTGTCAACCGGTCGCTTGCTCTGCCTTGACCGACGGCTGACTTTATTCAGTCAGCAGCTCTTGGATTAAAGGTATGTGTTAGGGCTGAGCCACACCACAACTAGAAACAGGTTTTTCCAATAAATAACGCAATCTCGAGGTTCACAATGCGATTAAATTTCCTGCAACACAAGGATGCTTTATTTCTTTGTCATTGGGGTAGAGGTTAGGTCAGAAATTATTGTTCCTTTAACATAGACTGAATTTGACAGTCCGGTCATTGATCCAACATCTGAACTGTAGATGGGTTTTAGGGTATAGGTTCCTGCCTGTTGTTCTGTATCCCTTCCTGTTGTGTTCTTGTGGCTGTTGTCATTTGGTTCGACTTGGATGTTCGTCATTTTACATTCATCTCCTTCACCTTCTCCTTCCCACCTGGTCAGTGTCTGTTTCAGGAATAATATAACTAAAGCACTAAACCTTCTTCACAGGGTTCATCTGTTTGTTATCTGATTTATCCCTTCATATATTTGAGTGCTGACTACATAGCCACGCGGTTGCTGTTCAGATGTCGCCTGAAGCGAGGGATGAGGCTGTGTCTGTCACACAGGGTCAGTGGCTTCCAGAGCATTCTGCTCAGAGACTCCTTTGGGGAGACGGCAGTGGCTGAGCACTGAGAAGAAGAAAGCTACACACACTATCAGAGCGTAAAATGTGTCATCTTTGTGTTAAAACATATGCCTAACGGCTTGACTTCAGTTTGGTCAGCTTGGTCACGGCTGGAGGCAAAGCACAGTGGTGCCTGCTTTGTGAGAGCCAGGAGAAAGCCGAATTGGACGCCCATCAGCAGGCCTTCTGAACATGTGCCCAAGAGAGTTAAAAGCAGAGGTTGGAAATGCATTTGTGGCCTAGTGAGACGGCAGTGGCACCAGAAAGACGCAGTTATAAAGGCTGTCAAAGGCCCATCAAGGGCTGAGCAGATAAACAAAGCATGACATCACCAATTGAGAAGTAACTCAACCTCAGAAAGCGTGAAGACTGATACATAGCCTCTGGCCTGCTCAGCCCCTATCCAGCCTCCTATACTGTTGAAAAGAAATGAACTCCAACATGGCTTTGGGGATAAATATCCTCCACTTCTTCACCTGTCCCCCAACTCTCAATACCTGCCTCACATGGGCTTAGAGCCCATCTCAACTCCTGAAGTCCCACATGACTGCTGATCCAGCCAATCAAAGCAAGGGCAGGAGATAAGAGTCAGGGTTGTGGATCCTGAGACTCTAGACTTTAATGAGTAAATCAGAGGCAGCTGGACCGGTCCCTCTGCCTAGTCAACCTCTGAGTTGAGTCTGCTGAATGCTCATGTTCAGTTGTGAACTCCCCAGATAAGTGCCTAACAAGCTGGAAACTCAAGTAAGGAAGAGTTTTCCAAACCCCTGTTGGGTAAAGTCCCCAGGTCTATGGGCTGGAGAATGGAAGGCTATGTGACACCTGTGAAGGATCAACTATTACAAGTCACGTCCCCATCATCCAGAGCCCATTGGAAAGCCAAGAAAAAGCTGGCATCCTCGCTTTGACCAACAAAGTGCTGCTTTGCTCTGTGTGATGTCAGACACTACTGTAGACTCTGCAGACGAAACCCTTTCTCTCTCCATGGCAGCTGTCATGTAGATGCTTTTTGAAGGTCAGATGTTCTGAAAAATCGGCAAGCTGATGTCAGTGGGTAAACAGAACCTACTAGACTTCTCCCAGTCTTGGGAAAGCCTGGGCTGCACTGGTGACATGACTGATCAATCTTCCTATATGTGAAGGACATTTCTGTATGTGGAGGCATTTAGGAGTCCTATCCTTAGGAGGAAGTAGTAACTGCAACACCTATGTTGTCATTCCAGCTCAGGTTATGGGAAAGGACAATTGTAGAGATAATTCACTGTCTTCAGACCAACATTGGAAGATAGAATCACTGTAGACCATCAGTGGTCTCATTATACAACCAGTCTTTGCACAGCCTTCTGCTGCAATGGTTTCCAGATAACTCCCTGTTTCTCTGCACACAGAGAATATGTAAACCATTCCGCATATAACACATAATTCTCCATGTGAATATTTCTTATAGACTGGAAGACCTCTGGGTTGTCATTGAAAACATGGAAAATTATTTTAGCTCCAAATTTTCCAGTTCATTTTACTTCCTGGGATGATTTATAACAGCCCAGACTTCAGTGTGCACTGCAAAGTGCAGGGTATTGTGGTTTTAACTCATGCTTGCCAAGAGATGGGTGGGAGCAACTGAGTCTCTTTTCTCTTTTCCCTTTGCCTTAAAGGGAGCAAAGTTATAGGTATCTGCCCGAAAATTCTGCTGCTAATATCACAGGCTTTATGCAAACCCCAGAAGATGAAGGTGCCCTGATGAGAGCCACACCTACAGTGGGAGCTAAGCCCATTGCTGTTGATGCTACAAGATTCCCTCCAATTCTCTAGGAGTGGTAAGAATACTCTGGTGTGTCTTCCTTTCCTGTGGCCCTCTTATGCAGACTTCTCCATGGTTCTGAGGTCAGCAGATTGGTAAATGTGAGCTGAACACTCACAAAGAGAAAGGCCAGCTAGACAAACCTGTGTGCATGACAATTTTTAATTCAGTCTAATAGACTGTGACAAATATCTCTGCTTTGAACCTGCCATTCCTGTGGTGAGCCCACGGTATCATACAGTAAATGTACAGCTGACAGATCTATTAGACAAGTCCAATGGGAATCTGATCCTGTGGAGGACCCATATTTTGCAGAGCTGCAGGAACACTTGTCTTTTGGATTAGTCACTGTCAAATCTGTAGAAATCTTGTGAAATCTTGCACATACAGATCAGCTATCATTAAAACAAGTTGATATTGTAGAGAAATAAGTACTTGTTTAGTCTCGACATAATTTGGGCAAAGGTGGAACCATTTGGCTAGTTCATTTTTGTTAGACTCTAGGATCTCTTAAAATATTTTCTCCAAAAAAAATAAACACAGAGAAGTTAAAAACTGTAAGTATTCAATTTAAGTATAAACCATGTGCGACATCTGGATTTGCCAAAAGGTAACCACATTTTCTGTGAATTATCCAATTTACAGACTGAAAGGGGCTTAGTGGAGAACTCAGTGTTTAGTGGTCATGAGATTCCTAACTCAAAACCTGCCCAAAATAAACCACAAAATCTCTACTAATAATCACCACATTTGTAAGCCTGCGCGTGCACTATGCATATAGGCAGAAGAAGTAGCTAAATTAACTGTCATGTGTCTTTACCCTTGGGTGGCTGGGTAGATGCTGCATATGAGGCAGGAGACTGAAAGTCCTGCTTTGCCCATCTGCCTTGCCCAGGACAGAAGACCACCAAAGGGATTCTTTTCAGGCTTTTATTTTAGCCCTTGGGTTGTATCTTCGCCTCTGACTTCTAAACCTGCCCTGAGCAGCAGGGTGATGCTCTGAAAGTGACCCGGCAAACTTGGCTTGTTCACCTTTCCTTCTGTCTCTGTTGATCATTCATCTAACCCTTCATACAAAGAAGTGCGAGGCCAAGAGAAGTGGACTCATGAGTTCGGGCTCACGACCTGCCTGCCTGGTTTCTCTGCACGCAGGCGAGGTACTCTTGCACATCCTCCGGGGATCCCAAAATGAGGGGGACTCGCTGGTGAATACTTTCAGGCTTCACATCCAGGACAGGCTGGGTGCCTGTGGTTGCTATGCCTCCTGCCTGCTCGATAATATAGGCCACGGGATTGCATTCATACAGGAGCCGGAGCTGCAGAAGAAAAAAAGGACAGGGCATACATTTTTAAAATGGCCAGACAGCCCAAGGTGTGCCCCTAAATACTGAGAGCAGCGTGAACTGCTAGCTGTCTGTGTGACTCCTGAGCATGAATGAAACATGATTAATGAAAATTCAGAGACAGAAATTAGAGTTCACCCTAAAGACCTGAAAGGCAAAGCAAACAGCCACTGGCTCCTATCTCAACCTCAGTCTCAAAATGGTGATCCTACCTCCTGGAATCTCAGAATGAGACTGTGTCTGAGAGCTGTCTCCTCCCGTTTTATATTCCTCTCTAGGGCTAGGATTAAAGGTGTTCACCATTAGAATAAAAGGCATGCATCACCTGGTATCTATAGCAACTAGTGTGGCTACTGGGATTAAAGGTGTGTGTTACCACTTTCTGGTCTGTAAAGCTGACCAGTGGGGCTGTTTTACTCTCTGATCGCCAGGCAAAGTTTACTTGTTAAAATACAATTGAAATGCCACTACACAGGAGTGTTTCTCTGGGCCATCAGCCCATGGGAGCCTGATGTATGAGCTGGTATCCACCTATGGGTACCATGGACTGGTAACCTCTCAGGAGGCACCACCGGCCCAGTGAATCGGAAGCAGCGCATCTCTCTGTCTGGTAACACTATGCCTATGCTGCCTCCTTGGTTTTTCCATCTGAATAGAAGGTTTTATTCTGAATTCCCGTGTGGAGCTCAGGGTACATGCAAACCCTTCGAGAACAAGCGCAAAGACCATGCTTACATTGTCTCTGTGAAACAGACTGATTCCCTGGGGGTCAATAATCCATGGTCAGTCAGTGCTGCTGATAAAAATCAGACACAGCCTATGAAAGCCTGTGACTCTAGAGAAAGTGAGAGATGAGCACACGACTACAGAAGTGGGAAATGACCTTGTGACTGCAGCAAGCAATGGGCCTGAGGCCAGAGGAGCAGAGGGCTCGTAAGACTTGCCCTTCTTGGCCACATTAGCCTGTTCTTTCCCAAACCTACTGCTGCTTCAAAACTTACTCAGAGGAACAAATGTATTTCTCTTCCTCTGAGCTCCGAAGGAAACACGTGATCAGGAGCGGTCCTGTAGCTACAACAGTAGCAAAAGAATCCCAATAGCTCACTGACTGTCATGGCAGCCAGTGGACACAGGAAGTTACCTTGCCCTTAGGACTTTTCTGGTTGGCTGGGTACATAAAGATTCCTCCATAGACCAGGGTACGATGCACATCAGCCACCATAGAGCCCACATACCTGGCCCCGTAAGGTGCACTGCCATCCTATAGGACAAAAAAAAGGAAGAGATGAAAACCACCAGCCCACATACCTGGCCCCATAATGTATACTGCTACCCTATAGGATAAAAGAAGGAAGAGATGAGAACCACCCAATTTAGCATAGATGAGATCTTGCTGGTAAACTCAAGGTAAAAGGGGAGAGGATGAAGGATGAGGAAATGAGGGAATGGGAAGGTAAAATCATGGAAGGGATGGAATGGAGGAGCAATGATAGAGATATCTTGATAGAGAGAGCCATTATGGAGTTAGGAAGAAACCTGGTGCTAGGGAAATTCCCAGGAATCCACAAGGATGACCCCAGCTAAGACTAGCAAGAATGGAGAAGGTGCTGCTAAGTTAAACAAACATAAAGGTATCTTGACTTCTAAATTTAGGTCTAAGCATTTGTAGCTTTGGAAAAGAGGTTCTGCTTTTGTTTCCACTGAAAATGAGAACCTGTGGATTCCTTCCAGGTTAATGTGGCTTGATGGAACATCCCCCAAAATCAAATGTCTCTCTTCAGTCAAAAAATTCAAAGAAACAACAATAATATACATAATAAAGATTTTCTGTATATTTTCTATCTTTACATGCCTTATTTTTCTTCATTACTTTTTAATATTTATTATTTTTCTGTTGAAATATGGAGCGGCGGGGCTGCATCCCCAACACCCCGGCCACTTGGCTAGCTTATGCCCGAAATAACAACACACAAACTGTATTCATTTAAGAACTGCTTGGCCCATGAACTCTAGCCCTTATAGGCTAATTCTCGCACCTAGACTAGCCCATTTCTAATGATGTGTGTAAGCACCCCAAGGTGCGCTTACCGGGAAGAGTCTAGCCTCCGTCCATCCTGGTGTCTCTGCTCCAGAGAGCAGAGTTGTCGAGTCTCTCCAGGAGCAGAGCAGAGTTTGACTTCACTTCCTCTTCCGCCCAGCATCCTATTCTGTTTATTCCACCCACCTATGTTCTAAGCTATGAGGCCAAGCAGTTGGTTTATTATAATTAACCAATTACCTTCCTCCATCAATTTTTACTCATTTAATCTATGACTGTCTGTATTCTTTCTTCTCTCTCTCTAAGTCCAAGTTCATTTATCCAACACTGCGACCCATTTAGAGATCTTCATCTGAATCTGTCTTTATTATATATCTGTAATCATTTTCTGACTAGGGAGCCTTTTTTTTAATGCTAAGAGGGCTAGGACCAACTCCGCAGCCCTGCCTGTTGGCTCTGAGCAGTCCAATATGGTGGAAGCATGTTCACCGCCTCTGCGAGCCAATCTCATGGCCTCAGCTCCAGGAATGCAGAGGGTGTAAATTGCCCTTAAGCAATCTGTAACACACTGCTCACAGACCCCATTTAAGTGCACCTTAACCACACCAGCTCCCTGCTCTTGTCCCAGGCTGTCTCCACTCACCTCGGGGAATTTCTTCTTCTGCACGTACTCAGTGGTGGCAGCATCAAAATACTTGGCATAACCCTCATTGAGGCTAAAAATTTTCCCTTTCTTCTTTATCTTGATGTCTTTTTCCACCAGCACAAATTCTCCAAGAGCCTGGAGCAATAAGAGACTTCAGAAAGGTGAGCCAGGCCAGGGAAAGGAAGCTAGCAGCATACCACACAACAGTCAGGAGATACTAGAAGATAATAGCCTTCTGGGAGAAACTTGGGCTTCCCTGGGGCCATCTGGAACCTGCCATGTGGTATTTTCATAAGTGATAGGAAGAATAAAATTATATGTACAAGCAACAATGGAATAAGAAATAAAACAGATCAAAGGAAAGAGGCCATGATAATTTTTCCTTTATGAGGATTTTTTGTCAATGTCATTTCTAAGCAACCTATCTGTTAATCCCCAGGTTCTCTTCCCCATTTTAATATCTTCAGGGCACCATCTAGATGACACCTCATCCAGAACAAACCTCTTCCTCCTCACATCCCCCTTAGATCACCAAACAAGTGTCTTAATAAGCCCATCCAGCTCCTTTCCCACAAATCTTCCTCCTTGTCAAAGAAACCCAACTTCATTTTATTCTAAGTACCGTGTCTTCCTTGTTCAAAGCCTGTAGCTTCTGGCCATCACTCAGTCATTATGTGCGTCTTTACTTCATGGCAGTCTGATGCTTTAGTTCACTTCTTTTATTTGTGTGTGTTCATGTATGTGTGAGGTGTATTCATGTGTGTGCATACCTGTGTATTCATGTCTATGCATTTGTGTGTACAGAAACTATGCAAAAGGAGACTGAGTGTTCTCACCAAAAAGAAAGAAGAAATGTTTGAAGGATATATTAACATTATTTAAACATTGGCAACCTTACTTGGGACCCACTTGATATAAACAATTTTGTGTCTTTAATGTGTCAGTTAAAATAAATTTATTTATACAAAACATTACATGTTTTTCATGATATAGTTCTCTAATTCCAAAATCAAGTGCTCAAAATGATCAAAAAAATCATTCGAAGGAATAAGAATTCAAACACAGAAGCCCATGGAGTCCCCAAGAACAAATGCGTTCAGCACCTACCGGGTCCAGCATGAAGAGATCCACTCCTTGCCCTGTGGAAAGAGCCACCAGGGTTGCACTGCCATAGAGCGCGTAGCCAGCAGCCACAATATTGCGGCCAGGCTGCAGGGCGTCCTTCTCGGAAGGCTCATCCTCTGTGGTCTGTGGAAAAGAAGAAGAAACCTTCACCAAGAACAGCCTCACGAAACCAAGGTTCCAGCGGAGTAGCCAGCAGAAAACAGGAGAGCTGTTCTTGGGTCTCTCTGAAGGTTGCCTCCTGTCAAGAGCCCTGGAAGATGCTCAAGCCGTGCCCTTTGTCACCGCCACAAGCCATGCCCTTACCCACTACAATGATCTTTACTCAGCAGCCCTGCAAGGTAGACAACATTATTATCTCCACGCTACAAATGAAGAGTTTTGTAATTGAAGTCGGTAATCAAAAAGCTCACACAACATCATGTAGCATGTTGTGGTGAAATATTTCAGTTGATAGAAACTTAGAAGCCATGAGTACTTCCTCCTCGGCGTGTTTTTCACATGTATGTGTGTGCATGGATAGAAAATGTGTGTGTATGTGAATACACGCGTGTGTGTGTGTGTGTGTGCAGACACGTAGAGACCAGAGGATAACCTCAGGCTTATTCAGTTCCTTTGAGACAAGGTCTCCCTCTGGTCTGGACCTCTTCAATTAGACTACAGTGATAGTCAACAAGCCCTAGGGATCTGTCTGTCTCCACAGCCCCAGCACTAGGATTTCAAACACATTCCACCACACCTGATATTTCTGTGTGGGTCCATGGGGCTGCTCTCAGGTCTTCAGTTTTGTAACTAATACACGTTTACCTACTGACTGTGGTCCCAGACCCAGAACCAGCCCTGTCATTCTGGTTTTATGATTTAGTATTCCATATACCCAATGGTATAATGAAACATATCTTCTTCGACACCCTACCACACCTACTCTGGTGTGTTTAAAGTGTACTTTTCTTTTGAAATATCATTTGAGGAGGCCCATGGTTATCTGGACTGGCCATCACGCCTTACTTTATTTAAAATTTAAGGCAAAATTTCTGTGTCCGAGTCCATCTAAATTCGAACACAATGGCTACATAATACTCCTTTGGTTCCAACACAGTTCGTCTCCAGATGTTAACAGTTGCAATGATGGAGTTGGAGAACCCATGTGAATTAACATCACGCCATTACTGACTCTGTGAGTTAAGCCGAGTTAACTCTCCTTCCCTGTCCTTCCACTGTTCCTCAGTCAAAAGGTGACAGTATTATCTATACCCACTTCCTGGGACTGAGGCAAAGGCCAGTCCAGATATGGCGGTTGTCAAGACAACACATCTGGGAAGACAGGACCTCAGTTAGAGAACTGCCTCCATCAGATCCTTATGTGGGCGTGTCTATGGGATGTTCTCTTGACTGCTAACTGATGGAGGAGGACCCAGCCCGCTGTGAGTGGCACCACCCCCAGGCAGGTGAGCCTAGGTTTTATAAGGAATATATTAAGGCAAACGAGAGGAGTGGGCTTCATTTCCTATCTCCAGGTTGTTGTAACCTGCTGGCCTGGCCTGTCACCTGGGTACCCTGTTCCTTTAAGAGACAAGCCCCGCCCACTTCAATCCTCCTCCCCTTCTTCTGAAGAGGCAGCTTCTGCCTCTCTTCCTTCCCCTTATCCCCTTCCCCCCTCTTCTCTTCCTCTCTCTCCCCTTCTCCCCAGCCCATAGCCCTTACTTTTATGCCATTCCCAACACCCACTAAATAAAGCCTATACCCAAGCTCTCTCTGCATGGTGTATCTGTCTGTCTCCCACACACCATGGGACCCACATCATGAAATAACACAGGGTCCTACCTTGGGTTCCTATCTTAACTTCCCTGGGTGACAGACTGTAAAGTGTAAGACGGAATGAACCCTTCCCTCCCAAGTTGCTTTTGGAAGTCCTGCCATTTTGCCCTCCCCGGAGACGCTAGGAGAAGGTAGATGGAGAGTGGAGAACCCTGGCAGGGGCTTGCTATGTTTCTGGAGCTGCCTGTAGTGTTGTGTCCAGTGAGTGGAGGAAAAGACAGGCCTCCAGGCTCAGCTGTCAGTCTCAGAACTTTCTGGAAAGATGCCAGCTTATCTACTCACCTTTCTGTAGATTGCAAATATGGTTCCAATGGAGGCCAGGCAGTCAATGTTCGAAGATCCATCCAGGGGATCAAAGCAGACCACATACTTCCCCTAAATCACAGAGAAGAGCACCCAATCAGCAGGCCCTCCCATCACCACAACGGCATGTGACCGATATCTACACTAACCAGAGATTTAGACCCATGGACCCACCATTTCCTCGTTCCCGAAAGCCACTGCTTATGGGCATAGCTCCACAGGTGTGTGTGATGTGCTGGAAAATGCACTAGGGATCACGCACTCAGGTGGGGGAACTGACGTTCAAGCTCCAAAACACGATACACAGGCAAACACGCACACAGGTGTGGCAAGTGCCGTGTGCATAATTTAAGCAGGTGTGTGGGTAGAAGGCAGGCAAAGCTAACATCTGAGGATAGACCTGGCCAGGAATTATAGACCTAGCCAGGAAAGCAGGTACATGAAAAACTAGGCAGAAGAATGCCAGGCAGGCAGATCTTCGACTGTTCCTGACATAGATAGTAGGTTAGGATACAATCGAAATCTCACACGCAGGAGTGATAGAAACTGGTAGAGAGGGTTGAGAGCCATACCAACTGAAATTTAAAGCTGAAGATATCAGATGTGATGTGGGTTATGTCAAATAGGTAAAGGGCTTAATAAATTTGGCTTTACTCTATCTTCTCAGTTCTTCCATTTACAAAGAAACCATCACCATCACCTCCCTGGCCCAGGTCCAGTGTGTGTGACAAGGACCAATAGGTCAGCACAGAACACAGCTTTTTGTTTCTCTTTTGCTGTCATAAAACACTCTGGCCCAAACCAGTCTTGGGCAGAAAGAGTTTAACTTACACCTCCAAGGTCACAGTCCACTATCAAAGGAAGCCCAGGCAGGAGCCCAAGGCAGGACCTGAAGCAGAAACACGGAGGAATGCTGCTTACTGACTTGCAATCCTCATGGCAGGTTCAGCCTGCTTCCTTACCAACCCAGGACCCCCTTCCCAGAGAGGGCACAGCCCACCATAGGCTGGCCCTCACACATCAACGTTAAAGTAAGAAAATGCCCACAGGCTTGCTCATGAGCCAATCTGATGGCGGTAGTTCCTCAACGGTGGCTCCCTCTTCCCAGGTGACTCTAGTTGGGGTCAGGTTGACAAAAACTAACCAGAACAATATTGTGATTGAATGTTGGCTGCATTTTTGGCCACTAGAAACTTCACTCTTTAACAAATAGTTGTGAATTTGGTGAATGTAAGCCTTCTTCCTGCACCGGATAACTCTGCCAAGAGCATGGGATCATCATTAATTGTTCCCTGGACTGGTCTACCTCCTCCGACGATTCCCAGTCCTCTTGAGGACATGTGTAGTGAAGGCCATAGCTAAGAAATAGTGAGGGACTGAATCAGAGAGTATGTATAGATAGCTCTTCCCCAAAAGAAGACTAAGATGCCAAGGCAAGAAAATCCCAGGAAGACTAAGCAAGATAACTACTCTCTCATCCCAGTAGCACCATCTACTGACGACGCGGGGCACTGCAGTCCACCGGGGACGCACCCTCTTCTCCTTGGCTGTGATGACTGCCTCTTTATTCTCTTCAGAGACTAGAACACAGGTGCTGTAGGAGGACTGGAGCATGTTGATGACCAGGGAATTGGATAACACGTCCAGTTTCTTCACTTCGTCTCCAGTCATGTTCACGCTCCCTGCAATTCCGTACCTGAGAAGACAGCGTGCATTAAGTCATTGGAGGAGTCATAACTCCAGTAAAGAGTGCCCAGGGTCCAACTCAACAGCATACCCACTCTCCTTCCGTGACTCTGCCATCTCCAAATTATAAAAATATAGGGAGTGTGCTATGACTCAAAGAACTGGCACTCAATATGACTTCCTTTACACCTTGGAAAATCGTCATATTTCCTTAGTCTCCTAGGGAGATTGACAGAATTCAGCCTCACGAAAATGCAAGCCCCTGCTTGGCGCTTAAAGCTAGAGAGGATGGGAGAGCCCCTAAATCCCACCCATCGTGATAACTAAAGATGTCGTAGCTTTTCTACGCTGGAGCACCAAGCTTCAGCCTTAAACTTCCCCCAGAGTCTTATGCCTCAGAACAGTAATCAACAACCATCCGCTCTCATGCCTCACCTGTTCAGGGTGTTCCCAATAATAGCCTCCATCTCACCTCACTCTTTAATTGTATTGTCATTTGAAACAAACCAGGTTCATCTAGGAAGAGGGAACCTCGATTGAGGTTCACGAGATCGGCCTGTGGGAGTGTCCACCTGACATTTTCTTTATTACTGACTGATGTGGGGGCCAAGCCAACTGCGATGTGCTGTCACCCCTGAACAGGAAGTACTGGTTTCTATTAAAAAAAAAAAAAAAAAAAAAAAGAAAAGGGGCTGAGTAAGCCACGGAGAGAAAGCCAGTAACAAGAGGAACGATAAAATCGGGTTATTTTGCATCAGGATCACAGCCTCCTGTGCAATAAGGAGCCTTGGGGCAGCTGCTGCTGGAGAATAAAGAACTGGACAAATGTCCAGCCTGCAGCCCATAGGCCATGTGCATCCGAGGGTGGCTATGAACGTAGCCATCTGTCGACCACAGTGCGCTGTCACCGTGCCAAACACCTGGACACACCCACACAGGACAAAGCCAGGACACCTGCAGTGCCTGTCTCCTCAGCTGTGGCTACTATCCTCTGTGAGGCGCGTGTCCAGGGGCCTACGGCCCAGACTAAAACCATTTCTAGGGTGGTGCCTGCCACCTAGTGGTCAATCACCACATAGGCCAGGCTTCAAATTTCTTGCAGTCTGGGCTTGGAATCATGGTAGCTAAATAGGGGCATTTCTTGAGTGTTTACCCCAGGCCTGGCGCTGTGAGAATTGTCATCACAATAGGTTACTAACCCTTACAGCAACCCTGTGAGTTAGAGTGGTAAGTACCTCCCCAGTTCACAAACATGGAGGTCTCAGCAAGAAAAAAAAAACATTCTCCACAGCCAAAAGGTAAGGGAAGCCAAGTTAAATAAAGCACTTAACTATCTAGCCCCTAAGATTCCTTGGTCGGACACTAAACACGGAGAAGTGGTTGCAGCTGGTAGATAAGAGCCCTGCCAAGGCAGCTGTGGTGTTGAGAAGCCTGCCCAGAGGAGCGGTATAAGTGTGGGTGAAAATCCTGACGGGTCAAAGGCAGCCACCCTAATTATAGCAGAGTTGGGACACAGGAGAGGCAGAGGTGCTATCTAATATCACTCAGGGCGAGCATCATGCGTGTAGGCAACTCACATTCTGGAAGCGTATTCTTAAAGGCAGAGTTTGGCCATTCTGCCAAGTGAGGTAACGATACAGTTAAGGGTAGGAGAAGGAGACACGCGTCTTTAACGTGGATTTCACGACCAGTCCTTAACAGTCATATACTGAACTCGTTAATGGCTTGATGATGGCATTTATGATATTAACACTGTCACAGTTTGGGGATTAAAGGTGCCCCACTGTTAAGAATAAATATTCAAATGGGTGGAATCTGTTGGCTCTTCATTTGGGGGTTTTCCCACCCCACCCCATCCCTTCAGCTTCCAAGAGAGCCTTCACTGGAATTACTGCAATCAAAACAGAAGCCCAAAGGAAGTTGGTTTCTCTTTATCATGGTTTAAAACCAGAGCCCTGGCTGTGGCCCCCAGCAGCTCCAGCATGAACTTGACCTCATTCTGCAAAAGAGAACCAATCGGAGACATTCTGCTCTGCCTGCCCCAGCCCAGCATGTCCAGATTCTCATACACCGCATGAAAATGAGGAGAACAGACTCCTTCCACGACAGCCAGGGCCCTGTAAATCTGTCCTGGCGACCTCTCCCTCCCACCCTGCCGGCAGAGGTCACGACAGCCAAACACTTGTACAGGAAAACGGCACCAAACACACTTTAAAGTCCCAGTAAGAATCTGTCCGTGTAAATATAAGTCATGAGAATTCAACATAGGTTTGGGGGCAACAGATGTTATCATTATAATCAGTGGTCATAGGAAAAATCCCACTTTTCTCCATAGCTTCCCACTAAGCATTTTCCCCTTTTCTGGCGAAATATGCCAAAGGCTGCCTTATCAAAGCAGACACAAAGGATTTAAATGCAGCATCCTTGGGGTGCAAAAGGCAAATTAGCTTTGGACCGGGTTTCTACTGCCGGCAGCTGTGGGTCCCACACCCTGGCCCGGGCCTGGGGCTCTGGGCAGCTGTGCCTGCGCGTGCATGCTCTCCGGGACTCACAGGTTAGCCAGGCCAGCCTTGCGCACAGCCGAGGAGATGGCTTTGATGGCAGTCAGCATGGAGTTGAGCAGCTGTGTGAGCTCCCCAGTCCCTTTGGCCTGCCGCCCTTTTTCCATAACGTAGCGGGTCAGGGTGAGCATGTCTGTCTCAAAGGGGCTTCTGTCCGTCATTGTGGCAGGTGAGACCTCAAAACCTCCTTACAGGAATCTTTGCTTTCTGGGGCAGCAGCCTTGCAGCCTGCACGCTGGAGAGACACCGTACTGACTGTGCCAGGGCCCAAGGGAAAAGGGCCCCAGCCCACGTGACTCGGATAGCTGGACAAGCCCTCAAAGAAACTTCCCTGGCCTCCCTGATGTGTGGCAGCTGGCACAGCGCAGTAGGCAGGCTGTAAATAGAACAGCCCTGCTGGGAAGGACTGCCTCATTCTCTATGTGCGCGCGCCTCTCTTTGAAGATCCCAAGAAGCCATGCTCAGCCACAGGTGAGAGGAGAGAAAGCCAACTAATAAAAATGACTGACAAATTCCTCTTATGTGGACACAAAAGTGTGCTCTGAAGATCGCTACCGCAGAACCTCATTGGGATTCCCAGAGAACAGATTGGCAATACTTTATCTAGGGCATAGGTCACATAACAAACTAACAGCAACCCGGGAGGACTGTGCAAGGGTTCTTTCCGGTTTATTTCCGCTAAGCATGGACAATAGGAGGGATGTTCATGGGAGGTACCCAGATCTGGAAGATAAACATGACATTCCTAACAACGTATCTAGTCCCAGGGTCGATTTATCAGTGTATCTGAATTTTTATTTTAAAAAGTATTTAACTGAAAAGAAACATCAGGACTGAAAGAAACACAGGTTCTCAGCTTCACAGCACTGGCTGCTCTTGTGGAGAATCTGGGTTTGAAACCTAGGCCTACTTTGGTGGTTCATAACCATCTCTAACTCCAATTCCAGAGAGGGTCCAATGTCCTTTTCAGACATCCAAGGGCACCAAGCATGTCAGTGGTGTGCACACATACATGCAAGCAGAACACTCATACACATAAAATAATCTAATAAAAATGTTAAAGAAGCACTTTTTTAAAGTGCCCTAGAAAGAACTGTGCTTCAAGCTGACGGCGTTCTGTTTATGTGATAGCCTCGTCTTCTCTGACTGCAGACAGACCAGGCTCTGCGCCCCAAGCTGGCTGCACCTATCTGGGCAACTTGGGGATGTTTCTAAACTCTGGAAGCCTCAGTTTCCTCAGGAATCAAGATAACAGCTTGTAAGAATTAAAAATCAGTCGGTAGGCCTGGTATCACACTCAGTGTCTTAGAAACCTGTGCCCTTACAATGTTCTAGTGCACCTAGAACTATAAGCATGCATATAAATAATGTCAATTTTCTTCACCCACTTGGAGAGCTGAGGAAAGAGAATTCCAAGTCTGGGTAACCTATCAAAACTCTGTGTCAAATACACAAATCAGCAACACTGAGGACTTATACATTGCCCACAATTTTATATCTTCCTTCAGTAATTATTTCATTAAACTGTGTTTAGTTACAAGTCATAGAAAATTCAGAGTAATTTGTGCATGTATTTCTTTTTAATTTTGCTTTTCTCAAAGACCATGGGTTTGCCAGTCTGTGGCTATGACATCCATTAAAGTAGACAGTTTCCTTTAAAAGCCCCATTCTGGGGCTGGATGACTGGGTAAGTTGACGTGCTTGCCCCACCAGCCGAGGACCTGAGTTTGAATTCCTAAGCACCTATGTTAAAACCAGACATAGTGACGTGAACCTGTAATCCCAGCTCTGAGGAGAAAACAGCAATGGGACTTTGTTGGCTAGCCAGTCTAATCAAATGAGGAAGCTCTGGCTTCGGTGAGAAACCCTGGCAAAAAATAAGGGGAGACACTCGATGTCCGTTTCTGGCCTATACACATGCTGCCTTTAAATGGTAGAAGTTCCAGCAGCCTACATGGCCTGTGACGGCAGCTGCTGACCTTTGCAAAGGCCAAAGCTTTCTGGGGCACATGACAGAGGGGAAACTTAAAGAGCAACTGTGGTGACGGTCCGGAGGCTGGGTGACAGCTCATATGTATTTCAGGACTGCTGACTTATTAGTGGCAGAGTTGTTGGTGACCTGGTTGTGTTCCCTGAAAAACGCTCACAAGCCTAAGGAGGTCAGGACAAACGAACCCTGGAACGGGCAGTCTTGCTCTTGGGGCAAGGCCGTCCATCTAGAGACCTGAAATACGATTCTGGAATGTTGTCTGAGGACCTTTCCTGTTGGCAAAGCTGCTTTACTTAATCCTATCATGGGATTCCCAACACGATTTTGTCACGGAAGCCCAGCAACCCTGTACTTAGCTCCTTTGGGGAAGCCACTCAGTTTCTGAGCGGTCTGTCAACTAGCTGGTGCTCACCCAGATACAAAGGAGGCTTCTTGGAGGTCCGGGAAGGTGGGGTAGAGGACAGCTGCCCTCACAAATATAGTGACACGTGACGAAACACATTATTAACGTGTGCCTTTTCCCCTGCACCTCTGTTCCACCTCCACCCTCCCCACCACAGTTTGTGGAGGCACAGGGTCACCTCCTCCACCTCAGCACTTCATGGAAACCAAGAGGCATCCCAAGAAAGAGGCAGCCTTTGAAGAGGACAGCCATACAAGGGAGGAGTGCTCTGGGCTGTCCCGCAGAGACTACATATTACATGGTAGGAACACACTTCCTAGGCTTGCAATAAAAAGTCACAGAACCAGATTACTTAAAAAACAGAAATGTTCAATTGGGGAGATGTTTCATGAAATGGGTTTGTAAAGGGGCTGGCACGCATGCATGAGAACCTGAGTTCCAACAACAGCACCCATGTAAAAGCCAGATATGTCAAATCCCATCGCTTAAGAGACAAAGGCAAAAGTAACTATTCCAGGGACTCCTTGGCTGGCCAATCTAACACTCAGTGAGCTCTAGGTTCAGTGGAAAATGTTGTCTCAAAAAATAAGGTGGAGAGCATTTGAGGAAGATACCCAACACCAACTTCTGACCTCCATATGTGTGCATACCACATGTACATACACACACACACAAATGTGCGCACACACATAAACATGTGTCGATACACATAACACACCCAAAAATCCAGGAATTTTTCTATGCTATGTTGGAAGCCAAAAGCCCAGAAGTAAGGTGGCAACAAGGCTATGTTTTCTCTGAAAGCTATGTGAAGAGTCTTTTCTTGCCTCCTCTGGCTTCTGATGCATTCCTTGGCTGCCATGGCTTATGACGTCACTCTGGTCTCTGCCTCCACTATCATGTGCTAAGATGGTTGTCGACTACATCGGGAATTAACTAATTCCAAACATCTGGGCGCACCTGTGAGAGCTGTTTCTACATTAGATCATTTGAGGTGGGAGGCCCTCCCTGAATCTGAATCCTTTGAGGTCAGAAGACCCCCCCCCCCACCAATATCTGGTCCATAACTCCTGCTGGCAGCCCACTTAAAAGGACATGTAAGGAGGAAAGTTTTTGCTGTTCGCTTGGCTGCCCTTGTTCTCACTGGCAAGTCCATCAATCCTGCTGAGCCATCGTTGTTCTGGATCTGTTCTTGGCTCAGGGCTACAAACAGAGAAAAATTTGGATGTACTCAGGATACAACTAGGCATTCTTGAAAAGCATTCCATTAAATAAACTCACATCTCAGTCAAAAGATACCAGGCAGTTTGGTCAGCAAACAAAAGCAAATCCAAGACTTATGATTGAAACAACTGTTCTATTGGAAGAATATGGAATTGGTGAAGTGTTCACAAGTTAAAAAAAAGCACATTTTACACACACACACACATGAACAGCTCACACAGGGTATAGGGTTCCTAACACCTGATAAAACTTCCCACGATCTTGAACTTCTGATCCAGAAAGGGATGAACCATGTGCAGAATAGACTGTGTGCCAAGCAGGTATATTTCTCACTGCACTACATCTGCCCAGGACCAGCTATGACAGGTCCTCTCAGGAAAGTTCCTGATGCAAGAATATCTGCTTGACACACAGTCTGTTTCTTTAAATTCAGTTCTTATGGCCAATCGTTTCCATTATGACAACTAGACCCTCCCTAGAGATTAGACGGCCTTGTTGTAAAAGTCACTCTTGCATATAAAGCACCATTGAATAGTAACATAAACTGTCATTTTGTCTTGGGTGATTATAGACACCTGCAGGAGGTGGAGAAGCTAGACACTAATTTCTAGGATGGCAAAAACGGCCAGGACAGAACAGGACTGCGCATATAAGAAATGATGTTAACTCAGTTTAGTGACCAGGATGTCTGGTTCATCCCCCAGCCCTATCTATCACTTATAGGCTGGAGACCTTCAGCTGGTTTCATTAACCCTCAGTCCTCCATTCTGTCATGGATAAAATGAACCCAGCATAGCATTATACTCGTGCAGCTGTGGTGGAGATTAAATGATTTGCCTAATATTCTGTTGACGCAAAGCACAAAAAAATTATAAAGGAAGAATGTGTTTATTTCTCCTTCACCTGCTCAAAATACATATCACCTGCTATAATGGCATTATAGCATGCAGCTGCATTGCAAAGCGCTGAACTGTGAAACTACCCACACTGCTAGGTCTGTTGTTACACGGTCAGAATGGGGTACAACACACAGTCAGAATGGGGTAGTGCTGCCTGAGGTCGCAGGTCCAGATAAAAGGCTCTGCTTTGGGTCAAGGGCGAGGTCAGTCTTCATTTGGCTGCGTGCTTCTTGTAGATCTCCAGGAACTCCTGTACATCTTCAGGGGACCCCATGATGACTGGTGCCCTCTGGTGGATGTCAGTGGGAATGATGTCTAATACAGCTTCCTTGCCCGTGGTGGCGATTCCTCCAGCCTTCTCCATTACGAAAGCCATAGGGTTACACTCATACAGTAGTCTCAGCTGGAAGACAAGACCAGAGACCAAGGTCTTCAGGCAGAAGGTGTTACCATCTGGGGGGGGGGGGGTGTTCTTCTATTGTAAAGCTCTGCAGAGTTGGTGGGAGTTTCCATGGTAACGGAGTCTCTCTCTCTCTCTCTCTCTCTCTCTCTCTCTCTCTCTCTCTCTCTCCCTTCCTTCTTCCCTCGGTCCCTCCCCTTGTCTCTCCCTCTCTCCTTCTCAGTTAGGAAAGTTCTCTCATGCCCCACAATGCATCTGAGACAGAACCATTAACTATTTGGTTGAATAAAACCATTCATGGAGCCAGAGCTAGTCAACCACCTGATGCAAACATGAGGCAGACCACCTGG